ATTTGATGATATTAAAAGATTTCAGTTGTAAGGCAGGCTAGAGATCATTCTTTATCACACAAAAACACATGTGCAGGTGTTAAAGATTCTTTAAGGATTTTATTTGTATTTTTTATTATTAAAAGATGGTGGTCAAATTAAAACGGTCTAAAAACAGGCTGCAGATTAGGGCTTTCAAATTTAAACTTTAAAAAAATCTTTCATTTTTTACATTTTAAAATCTAATATCTGACCAAAGAGTGAAATAATAACTTCACACCAAGAATGAAACAGATGACCTTTATTTTATTTGATCTTTAGTTAACTTCCGATCCAACTGGAATTATGGTTAATAATGGTAAAAGTGTGGAAAAATGCATGTATGAATTAAAACCCCCACACATTTGACCACAATAACCAGATTTTAGTCTCAGCTTGGCTCTGTGTTTGCCAAGTTGCAGACTTGTTTGGCGATGAGGGAATTCTAATATTATATTGTAATTAAATGAGGCACTCTGATTGCACCAGGAAGTCAACAATTATCTCATTATGTCTTTCCTGTGAATGAGAGAGAGGGCGATCGAGAGAGACTAACAAAGAAAAATAGAGAAGACAGACACACAACTAAAGCCAAGCGTCAAAATGTTATTTGCTGTGAAAATAAAGATCTGGTCAGTGTTAAATACCTAGCTCTGAAAAGCCCAGTCAAACGCTAACTATGCCTCTTTACCTTAAACTTACGGATGACTGAGATTCTCATCAGGGTTTCAACACAATCAGCTCTTCTGCAATTTTCTTTTGATTTTCACACCGGTTGCCCACATAATGATACGCCGCACAAATTGTAATGATTGGCTGTGCCGCTGTCATCAGTAAGTCACCTATGCTTTTACAAACCTGTATGAATTTCTGAAACACAAAAAGAGAGTGTTGCTGCGGCTTTTTCTTTTTATAAACTTCAATTTCATTCTCTTTCTCACTCAAGGCAGTTGTTTGAAATTGTGGAGCAGTGCATGAGTCATCTATAAACATTTATGAAAATATATGAAATATTCTTTGTGTTTTTACCTTTTTTACACAACTTCTGATAACCCATGCCTTTAACTGTATGGAAAAAACAGCATGAATACCCTGCCTATTGCAGTCTTCACATGCTATCAGAAATACTGTAGCAAATTATCATAATATGAAAGATTGATTGAGGTGGGCTCCAGCATGTAAAGGACAGAAATATTGCTGCAGTTACTGAAGGGAATTGTTCACCCAAAATGGATCATCATTATCTTTCTTTCTTCTGTTGAACACAAAAGAAGATATTTTGAAGAATGCTGAAGTCCTGTAACCTGTTGACTTCCAAAGTCAGAGGTTACAGGTTTTCAGCTTTCTTCATAATATATTTTACGGTCAACAGAATAAAGAAACTTAAGGGTGTGTAAATAATGAGTGAATTTTCATTCTTGGGTGGGCTATCTTTTTTAGCTGTATTCGCTTTTCCCACAATCCATATTGTTTTCTTTCGCTGTTAAAATTTTGCGCAGTTACATATATAAAACCATATGATGCATCTACTGTCTCATTTTGCCTAAAATTACACAATCGTCAACAAGCTGACCATCTACATTTTATAATAATGTGCTAGTGTTAGGCAAGTTTATTTATATAGCACATACACAAGGGTAATTCAAAGTGCTTTACTTAAACATGAATAAAATAAACAAGAAAATAAAATGATTAAAAGAAAAAAAATATTAAAAACTGAAAAAAAAAACTGATTAAAATGTGTTTAAACAGGTTTTAAAAGAATAAAAAAAAAGAAAGACATAATAGTGCGATCTGTCGCACATAGCAGAATGCTCATTCAGTAAACCCACAGCTAAACAGATGTGTTTTAAGTTCCAATAATTGTGAATTTGAATGCAATCATGGTGATGGTAATTGCTGCATTTTATTCCAAATCTGCTGGATATCGATTAAATCGTCAATAAAAAATTAACACAAAGAGGCAAGAATGTCCCATTCCCTGATATTGTATGCAATTACAACGTCACCATTCCAAAGTTGGACATTTTATGAAAGGAATAAAGCATGTATAACATCTCTTTTTCTGTTCCAAGAAATACAGTCATGCAGGTGTGTTATTTTAGTCAAAAACAAACTTACTGTTCCTCATGTATTTTCCAAAGCTTAATGCCCATCCTCCTTTTCCTGATCACAAAAGGAGAATTTACAATAAATAAAATCATACATTGGTGGTGAACAGAGGCCATGATTAAGCTTTTGACACAAAAGTATTAAAGAATAATCCTGTGTGTTACGTGCAATATTTATTTTGGGGTTAATAAAATAGGGTTTGGGCAGGGAAAAATATTACCTTAATTTTATATATTATTTCATAGAAATCATGACAAGTTGTCTGTTCAAAATGCTTATGCAATTCACTGGTGCAGTTCACTCTGACTCACTCATAAACACAACACCAATTAATCATTTTGTTTGCAATGGTAACAAAGCATATGTATGTATATATATATACAGTATATATATATATATATATACAGTATATATATATATATATATATATATATATATATATATATATATATATATATATATATATATATATATATATATATATAAATAAATATATATATATAAATAAATATATATATATAAAAAAATATATATATATTACCGGTTGCTTTGCGTATGTCTGTCTGGTTTTGTTGACATATACACGGGACTACCGGAACATGTTAATGCGCGCAGCTGTCAATCAATTCGGTGGGCGGGGGGGAAAAATCGCACACCAACGTAATGGTGCGATCGATTTGAAAACAGCTCCAATTGGCCGACCCTTTTTTTTTGTAGTTAAATTGAAAAAAAAGGACTGAGTGTGTTCATATCACCCCAGTATGACGGTCTATACACTATACCAACACACAGATCTGTCCAAACAGCTTGAAAAGTAGATTTTTTACCATAGGTGCCCTTTAATGCCTAGCATTTACTCTAAAAAGTTCAATTTTAATCTCATCAGACTAGAGAATTTTGTTTCTTATGGTCTGAGAGTCCTTCAGATGCCTTTTGGCAAATTACAGGTGGTGAGTGGTTTCCGTCTGGCCACTCTATCATACAGGTCTGCACTGAAAACCCTAATAAGTTGACTAAACTAAATTAATTGAGTAAACTAGCTTCCTCAATTTAATTGAGTAGTGGAGTCTCCCAAAACTTGCATATTTAACTTTATTTAATCAAATACGCACGTTTTGGGAGACTCCATTACTCAATTAAATTGAGGCAACAAGTTTACTCAATTTATTTAGTTCAGTCAACTTATTAGGGTTTTCAGTGTGATAGGTGGATTGCTGCACAGATGCTTGTCCTTCTGTAAGGTTCTCCTCTCGCCACAGAAGAACACTGGAGCTCAGACAGAGTGCCCATTGGTTTATTGATCCATTCCCTGACTAAGGCCCTTCTCCCCTGATCACTCAGCTTAGATAGCCAGCCAGCTCTAGGATGAGTACTGGTGGTTCCAAACATCTTCCACCTATGGATGATGGAGGCCACTGTGCTCATTGAACTTTCAGAGCAGCAGACATTTTTCTGTTACCTTGCCTTGAGACAATCCTGTCATAGAGGTCTACAGACAATTCCTTTGTTTTCATGCTTGGTTTGTGCTTTGACATGCACTGTCAACCCAGGCACTTAAACAGGTGTATGCCTTTTCAAATCATGTGAATCTGAATTTACCACAGGTGAACTCCATTTAAGCTGCTAAAACATCTCAAGAATGATCAGTGGAAACAGAATGTACTTGAGCTCAATTTAGAGCTTCATGGCAAAGACTGTAAATACTTATGTACATTTGATTTTTCAGGTTTTTATTTTTTTAATGAATTTGCAATAATTTCAACAAATCTTTATTCAGATTGTCATTATGGGGTATTGTGTATAGAATTTTGAGTAAATAAATAAGTTTAATCCATTTTGGAAAAAGGCTGTAACATAAAAAATAATGTGGTAAGATTGAAGAGTTATGAATACTTTCCGGATGCACTATATACTATTTTTAGTTATAGCTATTAACTGAATTAATTTACAAAATGTTACTATATTATGATATACAGTATATCATTATAGATATGAGATATAGATATGAGATGTTATCATCCATCCCTACTCATCACTTTTCACTGCCTCCATTGACAAAGACAAGCCAAAATTATTCTTTGGTGGTATGAAAAATAACAAAGGGTACACAAGAGCAGGGTTAGTAAAGGACTCAATTTATATTTCTGGATGAACTGAAAATTTAGACTAGTGATTAATGGAATGTGAGGCACTTTTCAGACACTGCAAAAGAGTACATTAGGAAGAGTTGTGCAGTGACTTCAGAGCATCTATAGATTATCCACAGAACACTCAGATCGATATAAGGCCGTTCTGCAAGCCTGCTACCCAAGATACACACACAAAGATAAAAACACTACAGTTTCCATTAGCCTACAATCTATGGATGGTTTGCCAAGGCGGGCCAACTGCGTTCTCATTATGAGCCATTGCAGGTCTTGATCAATGGCCACCCCCAAAGGAACATCTATAATTGGACGCACTGCAAATCCCTCAGCAGGGTCACAGTATCATTCCTCCCACGCGCTTTGCTTTTATCTCTTTCCCATTACGTTCGACTATAGAAAAAGTCAAATAAAGAGATCTGTTTTATTTTTAATCAAAGGTGTCAACACAGCTCTCTTTTTCACATAAAGGTCTATAATAATACATGCTCTCAGAGGTACGGTGCATTAGAAGGTATTAAGTAAAACCTTGTCTTAAAGAGTAAAATTGTGAAAGGTCACTTCACATCCTCGTTATTTCCAAAATAACCTGGTCCCTATAGTATCATATCTTCTCAAAAGCATGCTGAGTGTCCTAGGGGTGTGCATGTCTAATTTAGATGCACCTCTTTGTTATTTTCAGACTCCCAAGATGATTTGCTGTCTGGAGCTATCCTGAGGTGGCCAATGCCGTCGGCTCTCTTTGACATGCCGTTGTGGCAGGCGCTGCTAAACTCCACCCTCACCCACAATCAAAGCAACAGTAGTCTGTTCCTGCTTGACGTCCCCTGCTGGCAATCCAGCACCATGACACTCACACTAGTGCTATGCTACTGCCTGGTGCTTATTTTGGGCTTGCTCGGTAACATCCTCCTCATTTGCATTATTATGCACCAGCGGGACCCTCCTAACGTCACTAGCATCCTCATTGCCAACCTGTCGGTCTCTGACATCCTAGTGAGTGTGTTCTGCCTTCCCTTCACTGTGGTTTACACACTCATGGACCACTGGATTTTTGGTGCGCTGCTATGTCGCCTGATGCCATTTGTGCAGTGTGTGTCTGTCACAGTTTCGGTTCTGTCCCTAGTTTTGATTGCACTTGAAAGGCATCAGCTCATCCTGCACCCGTCTGGCTGGAAGCCGAGCGTCCCACAGGCATACATTGCCGTTTTGACTGTGTGGCTGTTGGCCTGTGTAACATCATTACCGTTCCTGGCGTTCCACTTGCTCACCAGCGAGCCATACAGTTTGTTTCCAGCGCCGCTCAGTCAGCTGCAGGTCTGTCTGGAAGTTTGGCCTTCTCAAGAGCACAAACTTGCCTACACCACCAGCTTGTTGCTATTCCAGTACTGCTGTCCTCTGCTCCTCATGCTACTTTGCTACCTTCGCATCTTCCTCCGGCTGCAGCGAAGAGAACGCATGCTGGAGCGCCAGTGCAGCCGCAACAGAGAGGATGAACACAGGCGTGTGATGCACAGTAAACGCATAAACGTCATGCTTGCCACTTTGGTAGCTGCGTTTGCTGTGTGCTGGCTGCCTTTAAATGCCTTCAATGTGGTGGCAGACTGGCACCAGGAGGTGCTGCCCGTGTGCAACCACAATCTGCTGTTTTCACTCTGCCATCTGTTAGCCATGAGCTCCACCTGCGTCAATCCCATCATCTATGGATTCCTCAACAGCAACTTCCGCAAGGACGTGGCCTCCGTGGTGTTACACTGCCATTTTCAGCCACTAGAGGACAGCTACGAACACTTTCCAATGTCTACAATGAACACTGATGTGTCACGGACATCTTTTAGACTCAGAAACAATTCTGTGTAAGCGTCCTAATCAATTTATGATGATGAATGACATTAAAACCAGTACTGAGTTTGAATGTACAATGAGTATCCACTGCAGTGCCAAACCTTTTACACAGTCTTCAGCCCTGTGATCTTAATTAACATGTTGATTAAAGGGGTCAGTTTATGTTGTTCTGATCTCTTGAGATCTTTGTTCTATTTCAGAAATCACTGTAAGATACTTTGAATGAGATCTGAGAGCTCCCTCATCCTCCATAGACAGCAATGCTCCTGAGAGTTCAACGTACAGAAACGGATTCAAAAACATTGATAGAACATTCCATGTGTCTTCAGTGGTTCAACTATGATTGTACAAAGCTCCGTGAACATATTTTCTTCTTTGTAAGGTCATCAGGATGTACATTTGCTAATAGATTTAGCAGTACAACACGCAAGTGTCATATTCCAAATAGTAAATGCCCACCCTGATCTAATGCAGAACAAATTGGCATCAAACCACTGAAGTCACATGGAATACTTTGAAAATCGCTGCATCCAAAATTACCTCAGAACTTTTGGCTTTTGAATTTATCACATGGCCTACCCACATCAGTTGCATCACTTCACTCCCATTCATAAAATTTTCTCGTGGTGCATCATGGGATAGCATAGCATCCATCGAATGCACACTTCAGAACCTGCATCCCAAATAGCATGCTCTACACTATGCACTATGTACCTATGCATTTACACACCCAATAGCATAGTATAGTGTCGTTTTAACTTTTTTTTACAAGGTGGAAATTTAAACAGTTTCCCAGATGACGTTAGTCAGTTGCCAAAATGGTGAAATAAATGACCAAACTACCAAATATACGTGCTATGAGTATAACCACATTCTCAATAGGGAGGTGGTATAATCACTCAAGTAGGAAACTTTTGCTTTCACATAATGTAATCCAACATGAGCCCAAAAAGCTCCACCCCTTCCACTATGTGAGGAAAGTTGCAGTCGTTGAGTGTGTGAAGTGTCCAACATTCCACACTTTATTTTACCGGTTAAATAAGTGCATCATCCGAGTATTTAAAATGCACTTAATCTTTTTAGAGTTTTCAGTGTGAAAGCACTACTTACACTATTTATACTATAAAATAGCGTAAAATACTAGTGTATAAGTATGTGATTTAGGATGCACCTAGAATCTCGCCAAGTAGTAGGTCACCCGGGTGCATACCGTTTTATGAATTCTATGAATTCGGACATATTACTCAAGTTGCATACTGATTTTAGTGTGCTATAAAGTATGGAAGCATGACATTTGTGGACTTTGCTGTACATGGAGATTCAGAAAGCTCTTATATTTCATCTAAAATTGTATAATTTGTGTTACAAAGGTAACTGAAGTTTTCAGGGGATTAGAAAGACATGAAGGTGAGGAATTAGGAAAAATAAGAGAATTTTAATTTTTGTAGTTAACTAATCTGTTTAATGAATTCAATTCACATAAAACATTAGCCAAAAATTAATCCAATCCTACAGAAATAAATTTAGTGACAGTGCAGAAGATTGTTGAAATAATTCCCTGGCAAATGCATACTGTAATTGAGGCTAAAGGTGGAATAGGAGAATAGTGTAAAACACTGCAAATGTATTTTATATTGGCAAAGACCTGTATAAGTAACAAAACAGTATTGAAAATATGTTTATGAAAACTTGCTCTAAGATTGTATGGTGTTGAATATAATTGGTCCAAGGAAGGAAGTTGTGCCTAGAACCCATTTGACTTCACAGGATTGAAAGCATCTAATCCCTATGCTGTAATTTTAAGGTATGATGATTATGTCTCCCGTAGCATTTTAGATTTTAAACGCTTTTATATTGCTAAATCTTGGTTAAGGCAGCATAAAAATGGTTAAGGCAGCACAAGATGGTCTCTGGGCCATGTAGTTTATTTTTCACCCAAACACAATGAAAGCTCTAAGAAATGAATTAGTCGAAGGCAATACTTGCATTTGAAACATTATCTCTTCTTCCTTGAGGCACAGAGCTAAGTTTGGAGGCACTGACAGTGTACAAATGCCTGGAAATTGCAGTTAGCTAAGCCCTAATGCTAACCCTAATGCCCAAGCGTAATGCAAGCTAAAACCCACAATAAATCTGAATATACCTGTCAGCTTATAAATGTCAAGCTGCAGCCTTAAAGGGGAAAACTGACTATATCCACTGAGCAAACAAAACTGGGCTGGAGTTTTTCATTCCACCAGGGCTTATTTTTGTGGCTCTTCTTTTTAAACAAACGCACACACACACACACACACACACACACAACATCAGCACAAAGCAGCATTTTTGTTAAATATACTGAGGTTGTAGTATCAAATATGTAGCCTTACAGGACATGCAAACAGATACTGTATAAAGTATTAAAACTTGAAAGAAACATTAGATGGAACTGACAGAGAAAGAGACGTAGCAGTGACCTTCTTAAGAAATAGACAAACCTAACATCTGTTCAGATTGCAGATCTCATGTCAGGCTGTGTAACTCAGCTGTCTACATGACTGATGAGAGTATTACACTGTATGATAAATGAATTCTGCTTTAATTTATTTTCAAGTGCATTCCCAATGGATAGAGCATCCACATTTCAAGAGTACACCCATGTCATGATTTAGTTATCATGTAATGTCATGTAGTTCAAAATCAACTAATAAAATTGAGAGCTTGTAACCTTTCCAGGCAGATTAGATCATTTGAAGACAAAGGGAAGAAAAATCTAATAACCTGTTTTTTGAAAGACCACCTGGGAAAAGGTATGCCTTATCTGTAATAATGAGTATTCAAGTCACTGTTCCCATAATGCCCCCACAATTTTAACAGCACATATGACATATACGTGCATGTATATTTGTATGTGTTTGTATGCATGTATACATACATAAACAAATATATACACATATATACTCACTATATACTTCATAAGGTACACCTGCCCAACCCCTCATTAATGCAAATATCCAATCAGTCAATCACATGGCAGTACCTCGATGCATTTAGGCATGTAGACATGATTAAGACGATCTGCTGCAGTTCAAACCGAGCATCAGAATAGGGAAGAAAGCTGATTTAAGTGATTTTGAATGTGGCACGGTAGTCGGTGCCTGGCTGGTTTGAGTATTTCAGAAACTGCTGATCTACTGGGATTTTCACACACAACCATCTCTAGGGTTTACAGAGAATGGTCTGAAAAAGAGAAAATATCCAGTGAGTGGCAGTTCTGTGGGCACAAATGCCTTGTTGATGCCAGAGGTCAGAAGAGAATGGCCAGAATGGTTCGAGCTGATAGAAAGGCAACAGTAACTCAAATAACCACTCGTTATAACTGACATATGCAGAAGAGTATCTTTGAATGCACAACACGTTCAACCTTGAGGCAGATGGGCTACAGCAGCAGAAGACCACACCTGGTGCTACTCCTTGAGCAAACAACAGGAAACCGAGGCTACAATTCACACAGGCTCACCAAAATTGGACAATAGAATATTGGAAAAACGTTGCTTAGTCTGATGAGTCTCAATTCCCGCTGAGACATATGAATGGTAAGATCAGAATTTGGCGTCAACAACATGAAAGCATGGATCCATCCTGCCTTGTATCAACGGTTTAGGCTAGTGGTGGTTGTGTAATGACGTGGGGGATATTTTATTGGCACACTTTGGGCCCATTAGTACCAATTGAGCATCATGTCAACACCACAGCCTCCTTAAGTATTGTTGTTGACCATGTCCATCCCTTTATGGCCAGTGTACCCATATTCTGGTGGCTACCTCCAGCAAGATAATGCACCATGTCATAAAGCGTGAATCATCTCAGACTGGTTTCTTGAACATGACAATGAGTTCACT